GCAATACTGGAATTGCCTGCCACAACTCAATGGCAGTGCACAAAGAGAAAATGGGAGCACCTCCACTGCCTAGTTGCAAACACAGATGGGCGTTCAGAAGTAGCCTGGCTAAAAGAACGGGGCAAGTGTGCCTTTGTTTAGGGTGACAGACTATCACGTCTCCCTCACCTGCCTGACAGTCCTGGTCAGCTTTGGCACGCTCCTCCATGCTGACCACAAACACATTACTGAATTATCTTCCTCAGCTTCCCTGAGCATAGCAAGTCTCATAAAATAAAGCTACAAGTTTGTAGAGATTGATTTGCCACATGGAAGTTAAGAGGTTATTTTCCTCCTAGGTATTACAAATAGTTTCCATATATTCAAAAGGACTTCCCTTCTCACACATAATAGCTCCCTTCCACTCCCGGCCCCGCAAGATCCATATACCCCTGAAACAGCCTGTCCTCCATGGCTGCACCTACCTTCCCCAGTCCTCTGTGTTAACAGAAAATGCACTGATTCGCCATTCAAAAATTTCTCATCCAAAATTGTATCTCCCTGACTCCATCCTGCTAGTTCTGTGACTGGCAGTCCCGCTCCCTCAATTCCAGCAGTCTGTCCTGCCCACATGTCCCAGACCACCGCTTCCCAGAACCCTTTCCATTCAGAGGTACCGCTAGACCTCCCACCCCATTACCACCCCCCAAACCCAGGCCCTAACTCAAGTTTAAGCCCCCGTCCTCTGGCATGGCTGAGAGAATCTACCTACCCCAGGCAGGATGACAGCCAGTATATGTAGGAGACAGCGGTTTCTATGAAAATTTGTATATTAAGTTGAATCTGACCAGTAATATAAATTAGCATTACACTGGGCCCAGGTTTATAGTGTAGGATATACTGACAGAAGGCTCAGACTATAAGGGTGGGCTGTAAGATCCTGTTTTAAGTCAAGCTTATACATCTCTGCTGTCTGCAACACTAGTGCTCCCCAACCCAAATTGGTGCTATAGGTGCAGTGCCAAAGCACTTACAAAATCAATGTAATCCACTATCTTCAAACGGCACCAGCCATTATCCTAACCAAGAAGCCTTCTACAAAGTTTGTAGTTCTGCTCCTAGACACAACTGCGAATCTATTCTACTTAAGGCAGATCTACTATTAGAGCTACTAAATACCACCAGACCCTTCTACTCCTAGGCTTTGGTCTAGACCTGCCAGCCTTATTGGATCTGGAAACGAACTAAAGTCTAAATCACCTGCTTTCTGAACCCAAATAGTCAACTCATTCCCCACCTTTAATCTTTCCCCTTGATCATTTACCCTCTACAGCCCTTCCTAGAGCTGCACCTCTTAGAAAATCAGCCCTCTAAAACGAGGCCAGCACATCTGGCAGGATCCAGCAATCATCCATGCTCATAAGTTCCTCCCGCTTCTAAACTAGCCCTCTCTGGAGACACCACAGGCCAAGGACTCCAATCCATCCGAGAACATGATGTTAACGTGATACTGACCTACAATAAACACATGGTGCCTGCAACCTGCCAATAAACCAAGCCCACATGCTTCTGCTTTCCTGTCTCCCAGTTTTATAGCTATTATATGACCTCAAAATAAATCGAGATCACTTGCCCCCAACATTAGTTTTTAACTCCTTCCCCTTGGTTTTAGGATCTGGGGGGCACTTACCTTGTATGGACAGGTAAGTTTCCAATGCTACCTCTCTCATCTTGATCCCCAACACCAACAGATACTCAAAGACAACTTTCAGGAACTAGAAGAGTAGAGAAAACTTACATTTGCTTTTTTCCCCTCCATAACTACTTTTAAAAAACAATCTCTTATGGTATTACCAAATTAGAGTCACTGTTGTGTTATCTGATCCACACTTTTTTTAGCCTCTAGTATTGTAAGAAAGGATTTATTCTCTCTCAGTATAATCTATGTTTAGTTTTTTAAAGATACTTATCTCCATCTATAAGGGTGGAATTCATCTGCCTCGTTTCAGCATTTGAAGTTAACTGCCAATCAGTCACCTTCAGCTTCCTTTGTAGTCAATGCAAATAATTAGGCAGCTTGGGAGGCTGATTCAACACATTCTAAGATACTTATCTAACACAACGCATATGAATGGCCCTCTGAGGCTGTGTATTTCTTTCCACTGGATATAAAGGGATTCAAAGGAAAAAAAAATATTTAAATGTTTAATTGTAGATTTTAAATTAAGCAAAATTAATCCACCTACCCTACTGTTGTTGAGATTTCCTCTTTAACAACATTGCAACACTTCAGCATTTTAATATATGATTCATATGGAAGGCAAACACATGGAAGCTACTGCAGCCATTGCCACTAGTGATGATGAAGAACAATAAAACTAAATTCCTGCTACCAAACAGGGAGTGTGCTTCTATTTTTGATAACAAAGGCTTTCTCCTTTGGGTCCCTCTCATTTGGATGCCCCTGAGCAGTTTAAAAGCACTGAGCACTACCTTTTATTAAACATTTTTCCTGAGATGTCTTTTTTTTTTTTTACTATAACACATTAACATGTTCAGCAGAGACAGAAGCAGCCAACTGATTAAATGAGTAACATTCTAAAATGGCCAATGGTAACCCTTATTCTTCTTATAATCAAAAGAATAAACAGGCATCACTAAGCAGCAGAGAAGTCAGTATTTTATTCAAACAGATCCAAAAAATCCCATACATGCAAAAAACATGGCATGCTGTACAAAAAACAATGTTGAAATAATCAATTTTTGAACTTCTTCCCAGTGTCACGAGAACTTATCTGCTCTACAGTGCTCTACAAGACACTATGGTCCTGACAATACCTAGAATTCATAACCTAATCTTATTAGAAGAAAAACACGTCTAGTACGGGATCCCCTCAAACCTGGCATGGCCTTTCTGCCTGATGGTGAAGATGCACACCCCTCCACTAGTTTGGCCCAGCAGTGCTGAAGTCAATAGGAATTCTGTGAATCATTTCAGTGGAAACAGATTCTGTGATAACATGGGCCTCTCCGAAAGGAGGGAGGCAGTCCTTCCTTTATGAGTAAATACATAACACAGACGCAAGTATAAAGTGCAAAGAAAAAAAACGTGTTGGATTATAGCTGAGCTCCTTCAAAATGAAAACATACCTTACAGTTTCTTGCACATTTCCTTTTCTAGCCAGAGAATGTCTCATCTTTGAAGAAATCTTCCAAATCCTTCTCATGCTAACTCTTCCTATGGCTGAACAGATTGTATTATTTAAGCTGTTAGGAAAAATAAGTTGGGGGGCAATTAAATAATAACTGGGGCAATTAAATAATAACTGGGGCAATTAAAACTGTTTATCAAACCATATCTTAATCAAATGCCTATTCAGTAAGCATTTAAGATCTATTTCTGAACTGAATGAACAAATAAAAATGTAGCATGGTGATGTTTTACATGTCTTAATATATTTTAGTTGCTGCAATTATTATTTTGAATACTCAGATGTTAAAAAGTGTAAATTTTTTGCATGTGCATGTGCAAGCACAGATCTAAAAATTCACATATATATACAAAAATATATCCAGGAAAAATCTTGCAAAAATTAATGAAAACTTAGTAAATACAACATGGCAATTAAGTTTTTGAAAAGGATAATTAGTTTCTGCAAAGACTGTAAGTGTCCTCTTAAAGAAAGATATTAAGCTGAAAGGATGATCCGAGATAAATAATTTTTCTACAATACACTTTCTGTTCCAAAAATCACTATGCTTCTCAAGCAACATTATTTCCTTTTAAAATGTGTTATTTTGAAAACAGAAATCAGATATGAAAAATGCAAAGATGACTGATTTCAAAAGGTTTCACTTGTCTACAAAACTATTACTCAAAATGTTTTAACATGCAAAACATTACCAAAATCAAGTAGAAATGACGTGTTCCCAATCCTGAATTCTCTGGGAATTCCTCAGTTGACCATTTTTTCCAGTCCAGTTAGGAGACGACTATCTCTACCATGTCTCCAAGACAATGTAAAGACAGCAGTCTTAGCGCAGAGCACAAATAAACAGCCTGACTTTGTTTCTCTGAACTGCCTGTGTGAGGGACCAATGGCCACCTTCCCCTAAAGAAAGATGAACATTAAACAAATTTCCTATGTTATGCCTCTAAGTTAACACAATGTGAATACCCACCACAGCATCCCAAATCCAAAAAGGATAAAAAGGGAGAACTTAGGCAATGCTGTCCTGAAAAACTGGTTCACTAATAATGAACTTTAAATACTTTAAATGGCAGGTCATAAGGATTAGGAAAAACAAATAGACTCCCTTTTCTCACTAGGAAAGAGAAGGCTACACATAATAAACTTCAGACGTACCTATTTCCAACTTCCACCATTTTACATTTGGTGATGTCTATAGCACAGCACTCATGATAAGGAAAGGCCCGTTTCAGTCTCAGCTGAATGTTTTTTCTTTTGATGAAACATTTAGTAATAACTAAGCATTCAGGGGCTTGTTTGGTATCACATTTCCTTTCATCTAATCAAAAACTGTTTAACCCATTCACCTATGAAAGCAACATAAAGGTTTCTACTGATTTCACTTGACTACAGATCAGATGCCAGATCTATCACACACACACAAGCAAAATAATAAACTATCTCTGCTTCACAGGAAACTTTCTCATAGAAAAACTAATCTCAATGAAAATAAAGACTTCTGATAACAGAGAACAGTTCACACTTTACCTGGAAGATAAATAATGTTAATGAGTAAGGATTAAAATAGATTTTTAAAAAATCCCTTTTTCTTTTAAATTTTGTTTAAATAAACGCTTAATAATTACTAGGAAAATGTAGACATTAACTTGTAAAATTATGAATACAGAAAGATGAAAGCAGTTGTTAGAATGTAGTTAAGCATTTTAACATTACATTTGCTCATAAAATTTTTAGAAACAACTCTTGGCTTTCTTCTCGAAAAATATGGATGGAACAACAACTCAGGTCATTACTTTTTCAATTTACAACAGAAAAATAACTTTAATTCTTTAACTTTTGTAGGCTCTCCCACTGCTTAAAAAACAAAAACCAAGCAAGCCCAATAAGTAAATAACACTAGTTCTTAAAACAGTACTGGCAACCCATAAGGCTGCCCTATCGGGCTCTAATGAAAAGGGTTTCATCAGGAGTTGTAGGACAATCCTCCTTCTCAGTAACAGTCTCTACTGTGCCTGAAGCAGACACAATTACTACCGTTTTAGCTGCTGAAAGAGCTTTCTCCTTCTCTGCGATGGCAGCACAGACTGCCACAATTTCATCACTTTCAAAGTCATAGTCTGGAATTGATTCTTGTGCAAGCTCTTTTTCTTTTGCCAATGCTTGCACTGCCTCAGTGTTTGTTGCCTTCTGCTGTTCATGTAATTTTCTTGCCCAGGAAAGGTCCTCTTTCCACACTTCAGGGTTCATTGGAAAGATGTGTAAGGATACCTGGAAGCTTCGGATTGCCTATAAACAGAATAGGGAAGAAACAAGGATTGGAAACTTTAAAGCCTACACATTTCATCACAGAAATTAACAACAACAAAAAAATTATGTACGTCATTCAAGCAAAGACAAAAGTGATTTCTCCAGTCTGTCTTTAGTGGAACAATCCTCCCCCAGCTGTAAGTTCAATAGCAGCATTACCCCCAAACAACTGTGCATACAAGTGTCTGAAAGTACCAAAAATGCATGAACAAATCAGGTACCTGGCAACAAGGGCACAAATAAGTGTTTATCTGTCAAAAATAATATTGTAATTAAAAAGGTAAAAGCAAAAATAATTTTTGTTTTGATGGTTTTCTATCCCACTTTTCCCCTATCATCAGATGTACGGGAAGGCAAAAGCAGACAGATATGGTTTAAAGAAATACAGAAAAGGGATGACTGGGATTTGAAGTATCACTAATATTGCTGCTTTTAAATTAGCATGTAGTCATTTCACATACATACCTAATACTACAGTAATCCTAGCCCTGTGTAAAGCAGTTTCCGTAACAGATTTGTGGTTGCAAACACACTTACCTTTACACAACAGGCAAAAGTAGACTCCCAGCTTGGAGAGTTGCTCTAAGAAAGAACTCCTGTAATCTTATAAACCATGCAACATTAATATAAATAAGTATACTTGATACTGTTTCTCCTGTCCTTCAGCTCAATTGGGAAAGTCCCACAAATACAAATACTCAACACAGAAGTTGTTAAACATAAAAAAAGGTGACCATCTAATCCAGTAGATGTGATACTCGGCAGGGAGAAGAGATTGCTACAATACTGGAAAAATGCTAGACCAAGAATTACAGCTGTATTGGATTTATAGCTATATTAACAGTGAAAAGGTCAAGATTGACCTTACCTACTCAGACTTATGTGTATGTGCACATAGGCACATGTGTATTTCACATTTATGTCTGTATAGTCAGTTACAGAAATGGCCACCTGAGTGGCCAAACTCTTGTGTGACGATGTACAGAAGCCTTCCTGTAAAGTGGGAAAACAGTGATGACATGGATTTGGATTATATTTGGGAAGAGTTCTAGCAACTTGCATATAAATAAAGACGTATGAACAACCATCGAATTCCATATTCTGTTGTAATTTATAAATACTTAAAGCATGCAAATTAATTTGAAAAATCACAACTTTTCATCTGCATTGACAGAAACTGCCAATTCATCCTTCCGCTGGCACAGATTAATATACGAACTCCGTATGACGTGAACTCAGCAGACAAGAGATACAAATCAGATTTAAGAAATGCTGATTATACTATCGGTATTACTGTTGTTTTAATAGGCAGCCTTTCAGTTCCAGGAAAAAAAAAATAATACTTTATTATTGGTCCACAGCCAGCTCTGAAGTGTAAGACCATGCAGAACTTTAAACAGAAGGAGGAGTACAGTTTAATTCTTGCAAAACAGTGTCATTTTATTGAACTTTGCTAGCTTTTAATTTCCAGGGATAGATGAGTTACAAGTAAACACTAAATGCTCTTTTTTTGTATTTCTGTTGAAAATAAAATATAAACAAACACCATCTGCTTTTAAGCTTTCCATGAAAGAGGCCCCTAATTAAAACCTGTCTGTATAGTTATGTTCATGCACAATAAACAACATTAAACACAGTAATCAAATATAAGGTAACATTTAATAAGCTTAGAAGCTGTCTTGATGACTCATACAATACAGCATAAAACGATCATCTTTGTAAATCTATTAGAAAAAAGATTTTGTGACATTTTTATAAATAAATAATAAAATAATAATAATAAAATAATAAATTTTAAGTGCTGCAAAAGATCAGAGGGATTTGTCTTAAAGCAGCAATGTAATATTGAAAAATACATAAAATTTCATGTTGCCACTGAAACTGCTTCCACAACAGTTAATTTCTATTAAGACAGAAGAAAAGAAAATAACTGTGCTATTTTTAATTTTCCCGCTGATGGAGATGTAAATCTCCTTCTTCAACTGCCTGTCTGGTGTTATAGGAAAAAGTGGTGGCACTAGATAATCTGGTATTTCTAGCCTCATTTTGAAGAGCAGCTGTGGTCTTAGAGACCCTGCATGTAAGGACTATGGGATTTTAAATCAGTACGTAGTTACATACCTGCTTTTGCTTCTGTAGGGAACAGTACTATAAAAAACTACTGCAAGACGTTCTCGCTTCCTGAATTACAATATTTGAAGAATTTGTATTTTTAAAATATTTTACATTTCATCTCACTATAGGGTACTCTGTAGCAAACAATCTTTCATTTATTCCATGAGCAAAATCTCTTCTGCTGGTTTGCAGAGTCTTTAAATGCGAAGGGCAGTTTTGACGACACTACACTTTCTGTAAGATGTTTTTGTAACACATGGACCTAGTAATTGTCACTATACAGTGACCCCTAAAAAAGGTAAGGGAGCATTTTAAGAGGTTATGCTGTTTACATCTGCCCCCAAGGTTTGTATTAAGCCTTTATGTTACATCTGACAGACACTATCTGACCTATTTCAAAGGATGTCCATCAGAGAAGATATGTATACATCTATAAGTAATCTTTTCCTGTGTTTAATGATCCTTAAATATGGACTTTTTTACAGCATCCAACATAATACTTGGGGGTACTGGTGGATGAAATCTGGACATGAGACGACAATGTGTGCTCGTAGCCCAGAAAGCCAACCGTATCCTGGGCTGCATCAAAAGAAGGGTGGCCAGCAGGTCGAGGGAGCTGATTCTGCCCCTCTGCTCTGCTCTGGTGAGACCCCACTCGGAGTAGTGCGTCCAGCTCTGGAGCCCTCAGCACAGGAAAGACATGGACCTGTTGGAGCGGGTCCAGAGGAGGGCCACAAATATGATCAGGGGGCTGGAACACCTCTCCTATGAGGACAGGCTGAGAGAGTTGGGGTTGTTTAGCCTGGAGAAGAGAAGGCTCTTATTGTGGCCTTTCAATACTTCAAGGGGGCTTATAAGAAAGATGGGGACAGACTTTTTAGTAGGGCCTGTAGCAATACGACAAGGGGTAATGGTTTTAAACTAAAAGAGGGTAGGTTCTGACTAGATACAAGGAAGAAATTCTTTACGATGAGGGTGGTGAAAACACTGGCACAGGTTGCCCAGGGAGGTGGTAGATGCCCCATCCCTGGAAACATTCAAGGTCAGGTTGGACGGGGCTCTGAGCAACCTGATCTTGTTGAAGACGTCCCTGCTCATGGCAGGGGGGTTGGACTAGATAACCTAGGAATTTATTGGAATTTAAGTCTTGTTTCTTGTACTACTCACCGAGAACATAAATAACTAATTTTTACAGGAACCTTTAGCATAGAGACACTCATGAAATTTTAGTGTATTAAGAGGCTTCTCATTACATTTCTCTTCTTTAAACCAAAAACCCCCATCCAATTCTTTCAGATATTTTCACTCTAGTTTAGCAGTTTATGTGATATAATCTGTATGGTAAATATCTTATCTATTTTAACTTTAAACTGTCAGGCTGAACCTTTCCATGCAACTTTTCTGTTCAGATTATTTCTTCTTTTCAATAAAAATTTTCTCTCTAGAAATTATTTTTCTGCAAAAATAATTCTTCTGTCTTCAATAACGAGGTGAACACTCAATATTTTGTGGTTCTTACATTTACAAAACCTTTTTATTCAAAGGTTCTGGTGCTCTCATGTTTTGGAGAAAAGGTTTGAAATATAGGCAATATTTTTGCCTTACACCTACTGCAATTCAGCCAGATTATAAACCCGTAAGTCTTTGTCCCCATTTGGTAGACAACTGTGAGACGATGTTAGCTTAATTCTCCTATGCTGGAGGTTCTCCACTGCAGAGAATTTATGCAGCGAGGATGAAGATGCATCACCCCCCGGGGTGACTCAGCACACGTCCTTCCTGGGGTGCAGTGCCTGATGGCTGGCACGAGAGGCCAGACGACATGTGCCTGAGCCTGGAGGCATGAGAATAGGAGCGTAGTCGCCTGTGGCAACTGATAGTAAAAGATCTCCTCAGTTTCTTTGGCCCCAGGCACACATCTCTGTACAGACCAGAGTTGCAGAAAATTTCTGTCAGCCACTATATCCACTTCAAGTTTCTCTTCAAGGTGCCTCTTCCTCACTTCCACAGCTTTCTTCTTCCTCTTCTTTTGAAGGAGTTTCTATCCTCCTCTTGTACTTCCTTTTGCTTCAGTGATGTACTCTCATTTCCCAAATCTCCTTTTGCACCAACTCACTTCTTCCCCAGCCCTCTTTCCTCACAACGCTTACTGCCTGTCTGCCTTTACACCTCAGTGAGCTTGCCTGCAAGACACTGCAGCATGCTCTGCAGAAGTCACTACTCCAGGCTGCCTCTACCACAGAGATCCGTACACTAGGCTCCACTACATCCATGGACGTAATCCAGGATGATCAAGGGAACAAAAAAAAAGAAAAAAAAAATCTATCCCATCCTAGAAATTGACATATTTAGCCCAACAAAATAAAGCCTGAAGTGATATGAGTGCTTTTAACTTGTAAATCAGGAAGATCCAGGAGGACTGAAAACATTTACTTCTCTATTACCAAATTATACTGCTAAAATTATTACAGGGATTTTAAAAATAATGGTAAAATAACTTTCACAGCATGTTATTTTTTCTCTAACTTAATACTTCCCAAATACTATGCGCTAGAATGTGTATGTGGCTGCAGTGTAGTTCAAGATGGAGTTGGCAGGACAGAAATATGCCCTGTCACCTGTTTCGTTTTCGAAAGAAATGTCTTTTATCAAATCCTGATAAAGACAGCAGTACCATTTAAAGTGTGACACAAAAACTGTAAATGGAATAATAAGAAATTCTAGGCCAAAATTATAAAACAAACAGCCATTTTTAAAATTGCATTGCCTCTTTTTCTTTTCATTTATGCACATAAGAAGAATAAGTATCAACTATATTAATATAATGATAAAGTTAAATATTCCACCACTATAAAATAACCCACGTTTTGTTGTGCTTAGAAAGAAGACTACCACAGCGGTGTAATTAAATATTTTAGTCTCATATAAATCTATAAAAATAAAATGTGAGTTATTTATCTCCTCAAGTTGATAGGAACACAATCTGAAACACCGACTTGATTGCTTTTCAGTGGAAAGCCAACCATCAGTTTCCTTTTGATTACCAAAATCTTTATGTTTCTACACACTTACATTGGTAACATTTTGAAAAATTCTCTCAAATTCAGAATTATGTTAATTAGCTGGATTCCAATAAAATGCCGTAACTCCTCTCTTTAATAGTACATAACTCCCATCATTATGTGAAAGTCCTAAAACTATTTCTTTCAAGAGAAATAAAAGGGCTGATCTGAAGATTTGTATTGTCAAGGCTTGATCCCTTTTACAAAATGTAGTATCACACTTAAAGACCATTAAAAGAGCACTAACTACTCAATAACAATACAGCAAACCACACCCTTCAAAACATCAAACAACAAGCATGCACAATTGGTTCATATTTACACATCTGCCCAGTTAACTCTGTAATCTTCAGTAGTCCAGATTTGACATGGAGGTCCCAGCCCACAACAGGGTAAACTTAAGTCACAGAAGCATGGAATGGTTGAGGTTAGACAGGACCTTCTGAGGTCATCTGGGCCAACTCCTTGCTCAAGCAGGATCACCTGGAGCCGATTGCCCATGACCACTTCCAGATGGCTTATGAATTTCTCCAAGGTGGGAGACTCAGTCTCCCAACTTTCAGTTGGTCTTTTTTTTAATACTGCTTTTTTGGGGTTTTTTTTGTTTGCTTGTTTAATGAAAGTGTGGGACTCACACTGTCTCATGGCAAGAACTGTTCTAATGAAGATATCAGTGTGAAATTGTTACTGCTTAAGTTGTCATCACCAATACAGTAAATACAATTTGTAAAAACAAACACTTACAATTAAATCAGACAAATATTGCAAGCCTGACTACATTTCTACAGTTTCTACATTCATGTTGCAAAGTTTACTCGGGTATGCTCTTGCAAATTGATTTCTAGAATTTAAGGAATTTCTGCCTTTAACAGAAATAAAGTTCTGCCTGCTCACATTTAAGTATTACTGTTGAATTACCCTATTTAGTAAATTCAGAAAAAAGAGCAAACAGCTTTTGTAAAAGCTAAATAAAAAAGGGCTAATTTATCTCACTCTTTCTGTAACATTTGACAAAACCAAGCCAAAGCAAATCGTTCGTTATCTGCAAGAAATGAATATATCATGCAGGTCATAATATAGATTAGATTTGTTTGAAAGCTGTATTTTAGACCTAGGAACCTTGAAATTAAAATACAGTAAATTGTTTTTTTGTAAGAAAAAGTGTATGAATGCATTGTGAAGTAATAAAAACATTTACAACAGACCAGTTGGCAGGATGTGGGTAGTGAAGACAGACATTGGTGGGGGAGAAATGAAACAAAGAAACAGAAGAAGCTGCTCTTGAGAAGGGTAGTAATTCCCAAATCTCAAACATTACTAAAAAGCCCTGACACTTACGCTTTATTAACTTTTCTTTGCAAAAAATCATGCAGTGAAAAGTTAGACAATCACAGTAATAAAAGGCTAATATGAAAAGTATAATTATGACTTAGATCACCTGGTCAAGAAGCCTCCGCAGGTTCAATAATTAGAAATCATTTAACCTTTTAAGACTCCTCCAGTCTTAATCTTTTAAGATTCCTTAAAAATTGCTTGGTTCAAAAATAAATAGTGAACATTATCTGCATTTTAGAATAACTCCCCAACTTCTTCTTTGTACGTGAGAACATATTCATCAGAAGGCAGTTCAATATGCCTTAAAGACAGAAAGTCAAAAAAGTAGAAACAACCAGTACTAAAGCACTGGAGACACCAACAGAGCTTACCCACCTCTGGGCTCCCTACTCAAATAGAGACAAAGACATTCAGAGGGCAAGCTACCTGGTGATGACTCCTCCTTCCTCTCTCTTCACCAACAGTAAGGTCAATATAACAATTACAGGAGCACCTATAGTAGTGTTTTGTTTTAGATGAATGATGTGCTTTGATGCAAATCTCTGATTGTTCCCACTTAAGGTGCTTTGGTTTGCATCATGGAATAGTCTCAGACTACATAAACCAGATTCCTTTCTGATTAAGCCCCACACGCACTCCAAGAGAGCACCTGAAGTGCTGCAAACAACAGAGCTACTCTGAATAAAACAAAATGAATATAATGTGGACATTGGGTCCCCAGGACTATTAACTCAAGATATCCACCCCTGTTGTTGTGATGTGACTTGCCAATGTAGACGAAGCCTACAGGATCTAGTGAGCAGACCTGGTGGTATAACTAGCATTGGTATGTCAATATCTATAATTCACATTAAAGTAACTGTAGCATTTTCTATAGAATAAGCAGCAACAGTTAACCTAGGATTCTTGCAGGAAATAAAACTTTGGATTTCCTGAGACTAATGCATTTAAAGTCTCAGACACAATTTACAGCGACAATTTCAGGCACTTAAAAGGAAAAAGATTGATTTAGAGATTGTAGATCCAGATGGGACAGACCGTCTACTCTTACCTTCTACATCACAAAAGCCATGGAATGATACCAGTTATGTGATGTGATGTAGATATGCCTGGATTTATAATAAATATTTCATATTATGATACTGCAACAACATAAGGTAGCACACTACACATCTGTAACACACAGATTTTGTCTTATGTTATTCTCATAATTTGTGGGGGTTTGTTGGGTTTTTTTTGTTTGTTTTTGTTTTTTTTTTTTTAATACTGCTCCTTACTACTTTTTAAAAAGAAACTGGTTTTGCATGATCTGTTAGCCTCCCTCAAAAAAAAAAAAATTTTTTTATTCCTGAAAATTTTTGGTCCAAACATTGTAACTTTGCAAAAACACTCTAACGACAAAATTATTTGGATCAAACCAGCACACAGCTACTTCTATTATAAAATAAAATAAAACCAATATCTTTTTTTATCTGAGAATTCATGGTGAATTATTTTTCTTACGGACTTTTGTGAATGCGTCTGAATTAAAAAGTTCACTCACTATGTTTCCACACTAACTAGCAGAAAACTATTACATTATATATGTTACATTATTTACAAGTGTACAGCCTATAGGTGGAGGGTGATCGGACTTGGGGGAAGAGTCTCCTTTTGCATCACATCATGTAGCCAAGACAGCACCGTGGGATACAACTGCAGTTAGAGAAAAGATGCACTCCATCTACTGAAGAGCATCCCAGCCTTTTTGCCGTCTTATTAAGAAAACAACTAACTTCAGCCACCATTTGGGGTCAAGGAGCCAGAGGAAAAGTATGAATGAGCACACATGACTTGCTGCACCTGATGCAGGAGAGTAGGAGACAGGGAAAACAAGATACTAGAATTTTATTAGCAGGCGTGTATAAAACTGAGCCTGAATATCAACTGGGACTTCACAGTACCTTTATCTTTAAACTATGGTGAGCTGCGCTGTAGCAATACAGTAGCCAGAATGTAGTATGTGCAGTTATGTCAACATAATTATTCCATTGCATAAAGCCACCACGTAAATATAGTATATAACACAAAAGGCTTTGAGCTAGGCAGGTCTTCCACAAGCCCAGCAACAAAACCACACAGGAAGCATTTGTGAAAAACAACAAAGAAGAGGGAATACTGTAGATAAATAGCAACAACCTTTTTCCTTGCCTACTTTCAAGTTACAAAAGGATATTCTGCTACCTTGGTATTTCTGTACTTTCATTCTCTCACACACAATACAGAGGATGTGGTTTACAAGTTTAGCATACTAATGTTGTCCATTTTCCTACCAGTGCTATCTCTCCTAATCCAAGCTGGGCACGTCCCAAAGTCTGCCAGGCATCCCAGGAACGTGGGTTTCTCTGGACAGCCATTTCTGCTGCATGCACTGCGGGGAACATTTCATGTAAAGACATCAGGACCTATGACAGAAAAAGAAAAATAAGAGGAATAAGAATAAACAAAATAGAAAACAGATTTAAGTTTCTGGGATTCCCCAGGCAACCAGCATTGTTTCAATAACTAAGGACAGGTTCATCTGACCTAGCTTTTTCTAGTTTAAAAGTTAGTTGTCTAATCTCAGATAGTCATCCAGACTCATTCCATAGCCCATGGAGAAAGGCATGCTAGAGGATGATTCATCTGAACTATTTAAGCAACTCTACTAAGAAGTAGATTAATTGCTTCTGAAGGTGTCCCTCCCTCTCCCTTCCTTTCTACAAACCCCACAGTCTGTAAAAGCGTAACAGAATACACTGAATGACAAACACATTGAGAATTAAACACAATAAATAAGCAAGTATTGTTGAAAAACTCCTGGGTTGTATTTTTTCTTTTTACTAGAAAATACAGTTTTCTAGTGTGAATGTAACTTGATTACAAATTCAGTTGCAGTGCACATGATATAATTATAGAAACAACCCCTGTAATTCAGCATGGAAACAGCCCTTTACAATGATTGTTGTATTTGGAGAGTAAGCATTCTGCAACAGCAAAGCCTAACTTAGACATGAAGTCACCTACATTAAAAAAAAAAAAACAACCCAAAAAAACCAACCCAAGAAAGTGGTTTCCCAATGTGGAAATCTCTTTTACTCAGCAGTACAGGTTAGTGTCAGCCTGTCACCACAGTATTCTACTGCTTACATTGAATCTCCATAACTAAGCCTATAAATCACAGTTAAGATACATAACATGGCTCAAAGCTTGCTGTATTTTTCCAAGACCACCATGAAATTGGCACATTACATGAAGACCTGCATCACTCTGAGATCATGATTTCAGACACCCACATGCTATGGTGATAGATATCAGTATAAGAAACCAATGACAACTGCATTCCTCCAGTATGATGAGAATGTCAACCACAAGAGTAAGACTCATGTGTGAGCAACCACTTTCATCCCAACTGACCCACAAGCATGATGAATAATATTAGAACATATCAGGACTATTGCTGAAGTGCAAAACGCATTTATTTAACCTTACTGGTCTACGATATCTTAAATAGATAAATATGAGTGTGGAGTAGAGGAGGATTCAAATGCAATAATCTCGAGTATTTACTTTAATTAACGTAAAGTACTTGCACAGCATTAGGGTGAGTACAGTTAAAAAAAAAAAGCTTTACTACAGAAAGTAATCCTGTATCCAAGAAACACAGGAAGCAATAGCTTCCAATACACCCTTTGGATCCATACTCCTGCTGTTTTAATAAGACTAAATTTTTCTAAAGACTAGTCCTATGGCTTCTCTTTAATTCCATTTAATAGGCTGTACGCTAGAATTTAGAAATACCTAAAAATCTTTAAAAAACAACACAGCTGTATGTCATGTCATTTTCCCTTTTTTCCTCAACAGTTCTCAATGACTGTGCTTTGTAAGCAAAGTTTGTAATAAGTACTATGTATTTTTCCAAAACTTTCAGTTCAACTGCATTTTTGTGTGCAGTTTCTCTTACCTGCAGCAGATCTGAATTGAATCAAACTGTTACTAGTGGATAGGTGTACAACCTACCAAGATCAAGTGATTCTGCATCTACCAGCTAGCTTTTACATTAATCTCTTAATGTGTTTGTTCTCACAAGAGAAAACAAATCCAAGTATACACTTACTTGAACATTTTCATGCATCCTGAGTATTCAGTATCTCCTACCAGTACTTTCTACTGCAACACAATTCCAAAACATCTACACAAGTACTTAGGAACTCTTTTGTATTTTTTAATGATTTTTACTGCTTTGTTTACTGAATTGTGACCTCACTACTAAAAGACAATTATTCCACTTTCATCTATTTATGACTGTTGTGTGTACTAATTTAGACAGCTGCTTTAAAAATGCTCTTCCAGATAATGGTGGTAATTACTGTGCTCCTAGTAACTATGGCATCAAGTTTCTCAAGGTACATTCAAATAAATACAAATTTGAATGTATATGCATTTTGTCCAGCACAGGTGTCTTTTTCAGTCATTAATACAATGACTCAGCTATACTTGTCAGTCATTATAAAAGAATATACTTATTAAGGCACTCTATTTTCCTACCCTTTTGTTTTCAGGTGAAGAGATCATCAAAATGAACATGCAATGGCAGACCTGAATGTGTGCAGCCTTGCCTTGGATTACTCTACCCGTGATATTATTATCACTTTTATAAAATACCTAGATACCACTGCTACTTGAAAACTGAACCAGCACTCAGTTTTTCTACACCTGGAAAGTCATGCTGAAAAAGGAGTAAAAAACACCACTAGCATAAAGTTTTCTTCTGCACAGATCTGACAAGAGGTGCTCAGTCCTTTTACTGGGGCAGGCCACATGGACAAGACAAGGCCAGACAGGAACCACGTGTGCTGTAGCCCCCTTTGTCATACAATGTGCCTGTCACATACTCAATGTGCAGCCACATCAAGCACCAAATCTATGTGTATATACATCATCCTCCAATAACACACAGTCTAGCGTGGTCTCCATTCCACTAATATGTTAAGTGCCTAAAAGGTTATTGTCACTCCTTACACATGTGCCCCTTAGACAGGCTGTGTCCAAAAAGGGGGAAGCCAGGTAGCAGATCATGGGAATTATACTGGTGGCGTTCGTCGAAACATAGACTTCTCATCCTGAACTAGCTTAACATACCAGTCTAACAAAAACCCACAATTGTACTTCTAATTCCATGGACAGCATTTCATGCACAACGTACACTTCTCTATTTATACATACTTGAATAATACAATAATCTTGAGTTCTGCATGACAATACAAGATGTGAGGCTTATTTTCAAGGATGCAGCTACTCTGAAATACTAATTTCACTGCATTTCAGATTTTCTTGCATAACTCATCACTAGCTTAAACATACCTAGAACTGAACTCCTTGCCTCCTTCCCAAATCATCTTACTTTCTTTCATCTGTAGTGCTGTCATTACCATGATAGTATCATTTTAAATTTTCTCTTCCTTCACATAAATTTATTCTACATTTATGCCTTGTATAAGAGCAAGGTTATTTTGCTATCTGCAAAACTCATTTCATTGTCTTGTTTATGTTCTCTTTATTCTTCATTTCCTTGATCCCTACATAGCACATCATAATGGACCAAAGTCCATTTGACCTAATAAGAAATTAGACACTCAATGAATGTCTTGTTCAAAGTCTTGCTCCCACTTTCTACTGTATACAACTTGATTTTCTCCTCTCATTTTAAGAATCTAAATTGTTTGTTTCTTTTTATTTTCCTCTTTTTTAGTAAGTTACTCTTATTTTCTTTGCTCCAACACGGCATCAGCATAATGGTCTATTTTTCTGCTTCCTACAAAGATGCCCCCAGATCTTCCTTCATTTCAGCCCATATGCTTGAAATACTTGAGCTGATCAGAAATCTTATTATCTTTTCATGCAGATGCGTGACTGAAACATGAATCTGGATGCCAACAGCAGTTCCTACACCCAATTTGAGCAGAATGCTTGCTGCTACTCTTACCTTTGCTCAATTTTATCTCATTGTCACAGGCATTTATATTCTCGATAAGTTTGTTTACACTTAGACATTTAACTTCAGTAACTGTTTTGAAATAGTTATTCTGTAGAAAATAGAATAAATAGATACACCCCCAAGGGCTCCCCCCAAAATAAGCATGTTCCTTGATTTGGCTGAATTCCTTTCAAAAGAGTAAGTGAACTCCTCTGTGTGGGGAGTGTTTCTTGTTGGGAACTCTACTGTACTTAATACAACAAACTCTTCACCGTCTTTTAATCCTTTATGGACTACTTCAGTACAATTGACTCTAAACTGCAAGCCATCGTCAGCGTCAATCCAGACCTGCACACAATTACATTACTTCATCAGTAACTTTGTGCACTCTCTTTTGATTCAAGTTACATTCACAGCGATTTCAATGTGGTTTTGGTAGGGTTTTTTTTGACAGCAGAGGTAATTGTCACCCTCTGCTAGTTTGTTCGAGCAAAACATTCAGATTACTAGTAAAAACAGGAACAAGCAAGTATTATTCTAAAAAGGTCACAAACCATTATAATAAAGTAGAGTAGTCAGACGTAATATTTCTTTTTTAAACAGATATTTACTTTTTAGAGAAACTACCATTTAAATTCCTCTTCCTCAATGTTTCAGGATCAACTTAGAGTCTTTAGATGGCCATGCATTCAGAAAAATACACAGACATAACCTTGTAATTTGAGAGTATGAAGATATTAAGCTGTTACTTATCAAAATTATGCTGGGGAAAACCTTCATAGAAGAGACAATCCTACCAGAAAAATAGGTCTTTAATCTATTTTGAAGCACGCTATGACAGAAAAGGACTATTTTGCCAGAATCACCTAAGGTATAGATGAGGGTGTGTGTATTTGCTTATGAATACCCTTTTAAAAGCTGACACACTAAGATTCTATTCCTTTCCCGTTGCTCTCAAATTAATTTCTCAGACAAATTTTCTTTTGCGAACTTCATTAGCAGGATGGCAGTCAAGTTTCACAGTTAAGTAATCTCATTGCATATTTGATTTATTTTCCAATTATAATGATAACACTTCATTAGAAAATATTCTTAAAACTAATCAAACAATTAGAAAAAAAAATCTTACAAAACAGAAAAAACATTTTAAGACTGTCATGCACATATATATTAAAAAAAACTAGAGGGAAATGCCTTATAAAGATGTTCAGC